AGGGCGGAGCTCTCATTAACAGAGTTCCTGCTCTTATAAAAGAGACCCCAGGAGCTCCCTCGCCCCTTCCAGCATGTGAGGACACAGCGAGAAGGCAGCCATCTGTGAACCAGGAAGCAGGTGCTCACCGGACACTGACTCTGCTGGTGCCTTCATCTCAGACTTCCAGCTTCCAGAACTGTGAGAAATAAATGCCTGTTGTTTATAAGCCACCCGGTCTATGGTATTTTGTTACAGCAGCCTGAACAGACTAAGACAGTACCCCTTCCTTCCTCCTCTCAGTTACAACTATCGTCCTCTAAAATATCATTGCAGCATCTACTTCACTTCCCACTCACCTATCCACCTACCTCCACACACAATTAGCCTGTGAGCTCTTTAAAGCCAGATCTTGGACCCTGTTCTTATGTTTCAAGATCCATGAACTTGGCAGTTCTTAATAAATATTTATGGAGCAATAAACCATAGACAAGCTCTGGGTTGTTTTAGGGTCTCAGGTATCAGCTAGAGGGCCAGGAACACAGCTGTCAATTCCTACCAAAGGTAACAATCTGTAAGATTGAATCCTCCTCTGGGGTCTTTTCTCTGAGTGTCAGAGCTGGCTGTGAGCACTCCAGCTGGCAATTCTTGGACCCAACTTACCAGTGCAAGGAGGCTCAGAAGCAACAGGTGTGTAACTCAGCATATTAACTGCACTCAGAAAACTTCACAGCCCTGACTGTACCCCAAAGGCCAGAGTCCCAGATTCCATGGGAGGGAACTTCTCCTCAAAATATCTCCTGAAGGGTCCATTCGGGAACTAGAAGTCTTAGAGGCAGAATCAGTGCAGGTGAATTCTGCCTACTCTTGGTTGGAGAAATTGAGCATCTTTGAAGGCTGATTCAGAGCCTGGGAAGAATTATATCTGTGCAGGCAACATGGAATGCCAAGCATGGAGCTGTCAACTGCCTCAGAAGTCTCACAAAAGGTGGTCCCTGTCCACCCGTCTGTGCCATCTCCATTCTCACTTTCCACTTCTCCCTGAAGCTGGTGTTCAGAAACCTGATGCACACAGGAAGTTCTTGCTATGAAGCACAGACCTTACGCCCGCCCCCTGGTCCCCGCCACCTCCTCCCCAAATCCTACAGGTGTGAGGAAGGCCTCTCTGCTTGAGAGAGACTTAGGGACAGCTATTCTTAACAGGGCCTGCCAGCACCCAGCGCTCGGCCATCTGTGGTAGTTGAGCACATGGCTGATTTTGTTCCAGCACACCTTCTGAGACAGGGTTAGGCCTGAGGGGTCTACCAGCAACCCTACTATCCAGACTGCACATGATAAGAGTAACAGCCACCACCAAGGAGACCATTTGCATTTGACTCACTCACAGGGGCCTCCTTGTGGGGAGCAGTCTGTGTACTGACCAAAGGCAGGTGTGGTTGCTTTGGGGCCTGAGGTTGCTTACATCACTGTCTAAGGTCGGGTAGGGGCCCAGCCTGTGTCTGCTGAGAGTGGCCCTAGATCCCAGGGGTCTTTTAGAAGTTTGTGCATTTTGGGTCTTTGGAAATACAGCTAGCGGCTGCATTTCTGTGGCCGTGAGTAGTAGCTCAGAGCCAGTATTAAACATGCTCAACAGCCAGTCGGCCCCTCTTTTCTCTCCTGCTGTACAAGTCTTTTGAAATATTTTGAATCTTGAGACACATAAAGTATCAAATTTCGGTTTCTTTTCTAAAAATTTATTGGGGTGTAACTGTCATAAAACATTATATTAATTTCAGGTGTGCAACATAGTGATTTGCTACTTGTATATATTGTGAAGTGATCACCACAATAAATCTAATTAACATCCATCACCTCACATAGTTACCAATTTTTTTTCTTGTGATGAGAACTTTTAAGATTTACTCTCTTAGCAACTTTCAAATATTCAATACAATTCCAAGTTTCGGTTTCTAATTCTCTATTATCTCCCACGGATTTGACCTTAAGGATTGTTACCAAAACGATCTGTGGAGGACGTCCCTGGCCACCAGACTCACAGATGGCTGCTCCCTCTCCTGGGTGTCCCAATCCACCTCCCTAGGATTAGCGTCGCCCCCACTAGTGCAAGGGCGGCAGGATCCCTCGGGCGTCCCCCACACCCCGAGACTGTGGAACCAGCACCTTGCCGTTGGGGCGTCCATGCACAGAGCAGCGCCCGGGCCGCTTCCCGGGCCTTTTACGTCTACGAGGGGCTTGCTAACTTCCTCGGGCGTCATCCGTGGCGCTGGCCCCAGGCGCTCAGGCCATTTGTTTCAGGCCATTTGATCTTGTGCCGCCATGCGCTAGGGGTGGGACCGACAATATCCCATACGGTCTGGGGACGAGATGCGACAGCAGCAAGGGGTGCGGCAACAGGGGGACCCCAGGCCCCTGCTGCACTTGCCTTCCCGGGGAGCCCTGCCTTCCGGAGCGAGGTGCCCCTATTGTACGGGTTAGGACTCGGCGTCCCGGTGCCGCCCGCAAGCACAGCGGTCAGGGAAGGGGAGTCTCCCTGGCCCCCGAAGGGCGCTCTGGGCACCTTTATCGGGTAGCCCACACTTGGTGGGGGACGGGGGGTGGGGGGGAGGCACTCGTGTGTCCCACCTGCTAACAACAGGACCTAGCGACAGTCGTAGCCAATTCTCCTAATAGTCGGCAGCTGGGTCCGTGCTCGAGGGGGCAAATACCCCCGAAGTTCAGCACCTGCTGGCGGAAGTCACCCTCAGTGGGGCTCTAACCGGTGGAAGACACACCCAGCACCTCAAACCCGCTCCCAGGAGCAATGATCCGAGGGCCGGAGGACTCTGGTTGCTTCTTCCGAGCGCACACTTTGGGACTGGCCTGGCGGCGCTGATGGACGCCAGCACGTGGTGGGACACCTCTTCTCCCCCGCAATACAACTACCCACCTGGGGGAGCCCGTTAGCCAGCCATTCGCTGCTAAAAGGCATTCCCCATGTCGATTGTGTGGCCAACTGTTATGACTTCGTTAACTTAACACTTGTTAAGTCGAGCCAGACGGCGAGCTGATTCAACAACAGACCACAAGAGAACTTGAAACAGAGAAGTTTATTACTCACAGGTCCTGGAGGAAGTACACAGCACAACTGGAGGGGACACGTGGGGAGGTCAAAGCAGAGCACAGACAGACTGGACTTGGGGCACGAGCCTTTATTAGGGTCGCTGGGTAGAGAGCTTTGGGGTCCCCCGGCTAGGGCTGGATTGGTCAATTCAAACCAAAAGAGCAGGGTTTTGGTAAGCCCGAAAGGGGTCTTATCTAAGGGGTGCATAAGACACAGGCGCTGGGAGGTGGGGGAGACTGCTGATCACAGGGCTGTTGGGGACTCATAGCAGGAATTTAGGTTTGCTAGTGACTCTGCAGCTGCCGTCTAGGGCCTATGCTTGCATGAAGGAGCAGCTTCTGCTTAAGGTCCCTGCAGACCCCTTGGCCAAACAAAATGGATGCAGAGGCTGCAGTACCATGGGGGAGCTTAGCTCAATTCTGGTGGATAGACATCTAGATGTGAATTTATTTTTATTTATCTAGCTAGGCATATATTGCACTGCCTAAGTCATATCTTTTGCCAAATCTGAGCCATCGTATCTTTGAGTATTTACTTTTCTCCCATTTTTTTCTATTTTGTCTTTCAGGAACTCCTGTTTGCTCTTCTCTCTTTTTTTTTTTTAAGATTTTATTTATTTATTTATTTTCCCCCCAAAGCCCCAGTAGATAGTTGCATGTCATAGCTACACATCCTTCTAGTTGCTGTATGTGGGATACCGCCTCCGCATGGCCGGAGAAGCAGAGCCTCACGCGCGCCCGGGATCCGAACCCGGGCCGCCAGCAGTGGAGCGCGCGCACTTAATCGCTAAGCCACGGGGCCGGCCCTTGCTTTTCTCATTTTAATCCAAGTGTCTCTCACTCATTTTTTCACATTTTCCATCTCTCTATATACTGAGTTCTGTGAACTTGCTTAGCTCTGTCTTCTGTTTCCTTTCTCTTCAGTTGAGTTTAATCTCCTGTTTGACTTGTTGGAGAATTTTAATGTTGTTTTAAATTTCAATGACAGTATTTTTCATTTCTAGAAACTCTATAAGGTTCTTTTCCAAATAAACCAGTTATCTTTCTTTGTGCCTTTGCTTTCCTATGGTTTTTCCTTTTTAATCTTTTTTTTAAAGTTATTTTTATAGAATATCAGATTTTTCTATTACCTAAAATATTTGAGATTCTTATTTTAAAAGTTAAAATGTCTGTTGATTTTCATTGTGGATTGGTTCCTCACATCCTGTAATTTTGGATTATGAACTCCATATATCAGAATCCTGAGAAACATGGGTTGACGTTATCTGCCTCCAAACATATTTTGTGTTCGCCTCTGTAAGTTGTTTCAAAGACCAGTAATTGTGAAGTTTTTCAACTGAAAACCTGTGACATGAATAGGGCAAATTCAAAATTCTAACTTACATGAGGTGCAGGTCAGGGCTTATAAATCATCAGGGTAAACTCTTTCCCCATCTGAGCCCAAGAAGAGACAGACAAGCTTCCTGTGCAAATGAGATTTTTCTCTAGTCCCCCCTTTAACTATATGTACATACTTTTGAAATTTCTCAATTTGAGTTATTTCAGGGCCAACTCTCTGCCTTGTGTAGCCCCAAGGCCTTCTTTCTCGTCCCTCTATAGTCTATAACACCCAAGCTTCTGGGTAAACAAAGTTAAAGCCATAGGATAGCTACAGCATCGACTCAAACAGGATTTCTGGTTTTCAGTTCCCTCTTCCTAGCTGGCACCTGGAAACTTCACTTATTTTCTTGCAAGCTGAATTATGCATTTAAAGAATGTTATCTGTTATCGTCCATCATTTCTAGTTGTTTACGGTGATATCGTTTTCACTTTAGATAGCCCACCATATATTGCCAGAAAAGGGAGTCCTAACCTTACACATTTAATATAAACATAACCTATAAACTAGTTGATTGAGAGAGACCAGAAGATCTCATGAAATTATTGGTTTCCAGATCCGGGGGCTCTGTAATACTTGCCAACAAACATTAAGAGCAATGGTATGTGGTATGGTGTGTGGATTTCTGGTTTAATAATAAATTCATATTGTTCCAGTTATAAAGTATATTACAAAGACAAAAAGGTATGATTTAGTGTGGAAAGCGTTGATAGATGTCATTCTATATATTATGTCTACAAGTTCACAATTACATTCAATTACCAATGCAGTTCAAAAATAATAAAATTCTTTCTATGTAGGAACATAACTCCTATAACCCCTGGGATTGTTCTGATGCTGATTAGATCTGTTGTCTTAATGATTTAATTTATTCACATACTTCAAAGCTCAATATCCACAGTTCATATACATATAGATACACATTACAATTAAGTATATCCTATAAAAATATATCACTCTAGAGCATAAGTATCCTATCACTGGTTTTAAGAGACCGAGTTTCTCCTAATTCTCCAAATTGGGAGAATTGCACCTCGATGTGAACCTCTGCACACAGTGGCACTGGACTTCTTGCTGAAGGATTTCCCACATCCAGAATATCCACAGTTTTCATTCCTAGAGGTGTTGTGACTTCTTGATGAAACCTCCTCTCACTTCATCCATACAGTTTCTCCCTAGTGTGAATTCTGTGATGTCTGATGAGGTTTGCCTTCTGGGAGAATGTTTTCCCACAGTCAGAGCATTCGTAGGGTTTCTTTCCCATATGAGTTCTCTTGTGTATAATAAGGCATGAGTTCTGGGAGAAAGCTTTCCCACATTCACTGCACTCATAGGGTTTCTCTCCTGTGTGAGTCCTCTGATGCAGAATGAGGTGTGACTTCTGGAAAAAGGCTTTCCCACATTCACTGCATCCATAGGGCTTCTCTCCCGTGTGGATTCTGTAATGGATAATGAGGCATGACTTCCGGGAGAAAGACTTCCCACATTCTTTGCAGCCGTAGGGCTTCTCTCCCGTATGAGATCTGTGATGTTCGATGAGACGTGACTTGTGGGAGAAGGTTTTCTCACATTCTGTACACTTATAAGGCTTCTCTCCAGCAAGAATTGTCTCAGGTATAGACAGGCTTGTCTTCTGGGAAAGCGTTTTACCACAGTCGCTGTTTCCATTTGGTTTCTCTTTTGTGTGATTTCCCCATTTGTTGAGGCAAACTTTCTCCCTGAAGCCATCCCCCTGTTCATTGCATCCATCGGATTTCTCACCTCTGTGGACCCTCTGATGTGTAATGAGTTCTGATCTGTGGGAAAAGGCTTTTCCACATTTGGTACATTCGTGGGGTGTCTCACCACTGTCAATTCCCTGATCAGCATTAAGGGCTTGATCATGGCTAAAAACTTTTCTACATTGGTTACATTCACGTGAATGTACTCCAGAATGTGGGGTTTCAAGCTTAGAATAGAGAAATAAGGTCCCCTGTCCATCACACTCAAATCTCCTTCTTGCAAGGTATGCATTATGACTAAAGTCTATATTACATTTCAAACTCGTTCCACATGAGTCACATTTGTGGACCTGTTGTCTTGAAGGTCCAAGGTTTGTGCTCTGACAGGTTTTTTTTCCAATTGTATTACATTCATGGTGGTCTTTTTTGGTCAATTTGTTCTTGTCTAGGAATGCAACTTGCCTCAAAAGTCTGTCTTGGTGTTCCTGTTGTCTATCTACTTGGGTATCAACTTGCAAAACTTCTTCTAGGAAAAAAAAATAATGACACAAACTTGTTAATCTTTCCAAGATCACATCACAGACCTAAATTATTTCAGAAACATTTGGAGGGAGGATTAACTTTGAGGTTTCACACCTCAATGACCAGATTAAGTAATCCTAATCCTAATCCTAATCCTACTACAAACACTTCCTACTCCCTTGGCTTTTGAAAAGAAAAAATCAGATACTGGAAATATAGATAAAACATTAACAATGAATGGAAGTAGCTTTGCTATGGACAAGTCTGACACAGTAAATTGGGAAGCAGATAAAAACACACATGAGGAAAAGTAAGTAACAGAGAAAAACTGGAAGGGTAATGTATTCAAGGCATTGATGTGCTGAAGAACCAGCTAACCAGGAGGAGGAGAACCCTGATCTGTGGTATTTACCAATTTCCACGGTGAAAACACGCCCCCCACCAGCGCCAGTTTCAAGCTACTAAGGTGATGTCACTGAGTGCAGAGCTGGGAAGAGTCAGGCACAATAGGCTATCACAGGCCAGCACTGGCTCTAGCATCCATCACTCAATAAGAGGGGCACATAATAAGGAGGTCCCATCAGGAGATAAGGATATTCAAGCAAGGCAAGAGCAAAGAAAGACTAGCGTTTCCAGGGAAATCTAGAGAGGGAAGGGTGTTTTGGAAATATGAGCAAAGGACTCAGGTTGAAAGAAGTAAAACCTAGTGTGAGTTACCTCACTTTATTCCTGGGTTACAAATAGGATCTTCACTAGTCTGCACTTCCTGTGTCCTTCCCACCTTAAGTTCCCCTTCATTCTGCATACCAGATGAATTTTCTCAAAGCATCAAGACCATTATTGTTAAAGGAATTATCTCAGAGCCAGAGGTCCATTCTGCAGTGATTTATTCTCACATGGACCTACAAGGTCGTTAGGATGTCCAGTGTAAGAATGTAAGAATAAGCACCCTAGGCAGAACGCAAGCCATCCTTCCCCCAGAAGACTCCCCATTGTATTCTGATTATGTGGATGACCACTTTCTTCAGTCATGGTTCCCTGATAGCAAATCTGGCTGACAACCAAATCCTATGTGTCACCTTCCCATATGTCTGACAGACTTGGCTGCAGACCAGCCCCTCATTAAACCCATATTAACATTCCTCACACGTGTTGGTTTCCAGATCACTGTGGAATCTACTTTGAGAATCTTAAATGTTGTATTCTTCATCCTTTGCTTAGATCCTTATTTGCTTTTGTCTTCACTTACATTTTAAACCACAGACTGTACCTGCTGTTTCCCCCTGGCACTCATAGCCAATCCAACCACGGAACTCCTCTGTTTAGAAATGTTTAAGCCCCGCTGCTGAATTCCTAAGAGACAAAATCGATGTCTACTGATCTTCCCTCACGAGGACTTTCTGGGTTGGGACCCCACCTGGGGGTATTTTTCAAGCTCCCCAGGTGATTCTGGTGTGAAACCCTGATTAATAACAACTGCCCTGAACATATGCTTGATAAAGGATCCTTGTCCTGGAAGGAAGAGGGAGTTAGTCAATGTCCACCATGTGCATCCCACAGAAACAAGGACAAATACAATAAAGGCTCTTCTCCCCATGGGATTATACTGAGGTAGGGGGAAAGCTTCAGTTATGAGCTATTAGGCAAAAGGGGGCCATATTATATGGTTTTCAAAGAAGAGGAAATGAAAGTCATATAAAAGGTAGCAGATAAGTTTTCGAGGCATTTCACAGTAAAAGAAGAAAAAGAAAAAACAACTAAAGTAAAAATGAGTGGCACAAAATAACACAGTTATTTTAAAATAGGGCAAATCTACAAATCCCTGAAAGTATGAGAAAGTCTATTTCATAACCATGGGGAAAAGCATAAGATTGAAGATTCTAGAGACAGACTGAGCAAGCAAGGTCTTAGGGGACAACAGGGTAGAATCAAAGGATAAATAAAAATAGAATTTGTCTTTCTCTAAAAATCCAGGGAAAGGAGAGGAATCATGCAGTGGCATGTGATGAGTGCAGGTAACAGGAATCATGTGGGCATCTCAAGGTCTTGGGCCAAATGTCCACAGCTGCTTGCAAAGATCCAAGGCTTTTAAGAACAGTTGCCTGAAACAAAAAAACATCCAAGGTTCTGCTTTGTGACCTCCTGGAACCTGATGTCCACTGTCCCCCTGCAGGCTGGTTCTCTCTCACCTGGAAAGCTCCATCCAAGGATTTCTTCCTCCTCCATCCATGGTTCTTGACCCTGCTCCAACCTGGAGATCACAGCTGGTTTCGTGACCTGACACCCTGTTCATGAGAAATAGTTACAGGATGTATGCTGAGTCACTGGGGCCATCTAAGGAAGCAGAAGGTTCAGGCTGCACATGGAACATTTACACCTCGGCCAAAGAATAGATACTTCACTTGGGAAGTAAATTCACAAACAATCCAGGTGAGATGAAAGCAGGACTCATTGACAACTGAACCCCAAGGCCAAACACTTTTAGGACTTAAGATGTTTTAGGTAACGGAGAAAAGAAAGGTGCTCAGACATAATCGGGGAACACAGGAAGACTTCCTCACCCACTGAGACCAGGTGGCTATAGTTCTCCAGCATCACATCCCGGTACAGGGTCCTCTGTGTAGGGTCCAGCTGCTGCCATTCTTTACGAGTGAAACCCACAGCCACATCTCTGAATGACAATGGCCCCTGCAACAGCACATTCCTGATTAATCTGGAGTGCTCCGCAGAGTATTACAGCAAAGGCATAGAGGAGATGGATCTTACCACCTTCCCCATGTTAAGTTATACAGGAAGCTTAGCATGCCCCTAACTTTGTACTACATTTTGTGAGAGAGAGAAAAAGACAGAAAAGATCTTACGTCTGAATCTCCATTCATTCATTCATTCATTGAGAAAGCATCTACTGAAGATGTGTGTTACTGGCATTCTGCTTGGTGCTTGGGGACAAAAGCTGAATGCAACATTGCTCCTGTTCTAAAGGTATTCATAGTCTGGTGGAGTGAGAAGAACATAAAAGATTTCTGTATCATAAGACTACATTGAAGACTGTAATGGAAGTATATTTAAGTCAGAACTGACACAAAGAAGATAGCAGTCAAATTCTATGTGCTGATGTCAAGTTAAGCTTCACTGGAGGTTGCGTTTGAGCAGAGTCATGAAAGATAAACAGTGTGTTCTGATGTTGGAAGGATATTCCCATCAAGAGGCACAGCATGAGAAAAGGCTAAGAGTCATAGGAAAATCTGGCAGGAACTGCAAATAGTTGGGAATGACAATACAGAGTATAAGGTCTATGTGTACATGTGTGTGTGAGAGAGAGAGAAGCCAGATCTTAGGACAAATGAAGGGTTTTTTCCTATAGGCAATGGTGACTCCATGACAGTATTCAAGGAGGGGTGCTATAAAAGACGATCTGATGTAGAAAGAAGGTGGGAATCACTGGGAGGGAGAGAATAAAATTAAAATTTGGCACAATTATAACCATCAACATGAGATATGGTCAAAATTAAGGCAGTAACAAGAGGAAAGCAGAGAAAGGATTCCACATATACAAGACAGGGCTCGGCTTTCCATCTCCTTCTCCCTCATCATCTCTCTCTATGGATGAATTAAGGACCACAAAAAAATTTAATTTATATAAAATATTGTAATACTCTAATGTTGGTGTGTAAATCATTTTTAACACAAGTATAGAAATTAAAAGGCAAAAGTATAAGAATAACTAGAATCACAGATTTGTTAATGGAAACACGATATAAAAAGAAGTAAAATCTGACATAACAAAGTATGTGTGGGAGGAAGTAAAGTGTAGAGTTTCCATATGTGATTGAAGTTAAGTTGTTATCAGGTTAAAATACTGTTATAACTATAAAATATTCAATGCAAGCCTCATGGTAACCACAAAAAAAGTCTATAGTAGATACAAAAAATAAAGAGAAAAGAATCAAAGTATGCCACTACAAAAAAATCCTCAAACCACAATAAAGACAACAAGAGAGGAAGAAAGGAACAAGAGAACTACAAAACAGAAAACAAGTAACAAAATGGCAATAGTAAGTCCTCATCTATCAATAATTACTTTAAATATAAATGAACTAAACTCCCCAAATTAAAACACATAGTGTGGCTGAATAGATAACAAATCAAGACCCATCTATACGCTGTCTATACGAGACTCACTTTAGATTTAAGGACATACACTGGGTGAAACTGAAGGGGTGGAGAAAGATATTCCAGGCAAACGGTAATCAAAAGAGAGCTGGTCTGGCTATATTTATATCAGACAAAATAGACTTGAAGTCAAAAACCGTCACAAGAGACAAAGAAAGTCATTATATGATTATAAAAGGGTGCATTCAACAGGAAAATACAATTATAAATATATATACATCCACCATCAAAGCACCTAAATCTATGAAGCAAACACTGACAGATCAGAAGAGAGGAATAGACAGCAATACAACAACAGTAGGAGACTTAAATATCCCACTTTCAATAGTGGATAGATCATCCAGACAGAAAATCAATAAGGAAACAGCAAAAATGAACAATACTATAGACCAAATAGCCCTAAAAGATATATACAGAACATTCCACCCAACAGCAGCATAATACTCATTCTTCTCAAGAGCACATGGAATGTTCTCCAGAATAGATCATATGCTGGGTCAAAACAAGTCTTAACAAATTTAAAAAGACTGAAATCATTACAAGTATCTTTTCCAATCACAATGGAACAAAACTAGAAATGAGTAATAGAAAGAAAATAGGAAAATTCAAAAATACGTGGAAATTAAACAACACAATCTTTAACACCATTGGGTCAAGGAAGAAATCAAAATGGTAATTAGAAAATATCTCAAAACAAACAAAAACAAAAGCACAACGGACCAAAACCTATGGGATGCAGCAAAAGCAATACTAAGAGGGAAGTTTATAGCAATAAACACCTACATTAAAAAAGAAGATCTCAGGGGCCGGCCCAGTGGCATAGTAGTTAAGTTCGCCTGCTCCACTTTGGCAGCCTGGGGTTCGGGGGTTTGAATCCTGGGTGTGGACCTATGCACTGCTCATCAAGCCATGTGTGGTGGCATCCCACATACAAAATAGAGGAAGATGGGCACAGATGTTAGCTCAGGGCTAATCTTCCTCACCAAAAAATAAAAATAAAAAATAAGATCTCAAACAAACAACCTAATTTTGCACCTCTAGAAAAAGAATAAACTAAGCTCCCAATTAGAAGAAAGGAAGTAATAAAGATTCGAGCAGAAATAAATGAAATGGAGAATAGAAAAATAATAGACAAAAAATCAACAAACTAAGAGTTATTTCTTTAAAAAATTAAACAAAATTGACAAACCCTTAGCTAGATTTAAAAAAAAAAAAGAGAGAGAGAGAGAGAAGACTGGAATAAATAAAATCAGAAATCAAAGAGGAGGGCCGGCCCTGTGGCTTGGTGGTTAAGTGCGCGCGCTGCGATGCTGGCGGCCCGGGTTCGGATCCCGGGTGCGCATCGAGGCACCACTTCTCAGTCAATCCTGAGGCCGAGTCCCACATACCGCAACTAGAAGGGTGTGCAGCTATGGCATACAACTATCTACTGGGGCTTTGGGGGCAAAAAATAAAATAAATAAAACCTTAAAAAAAAAAAAAAAGAAATCAAAGAGGAGATGTTACAACCGATGCCCCAGAAATAAAAAGGATCATAAGGGACTATTATGAACAATTATACACCAACAGATTGGACAACCTAGAAGAAATGGATACATTTCTTAAAAAATACAACCTACAAATACTCAATCAAGAAGAAATAGAAATCCTGAACAGACCAGTAACAAATAAAGAGAATGAAGAAGTAACCAAAACCTCCCAATAAAGAAAAGTCCAGGACCTTCATGGGTAAATCCTACCAAAAATTTAAAGAAGATTAATACCAATCCTTCTTAAACTCTTCCAAAAAACAGAAGAGGGAACACTTCCAGACCCATTCTATGAGGCCAGCATCACCTTGATTCCAAAACCAGAAAAAGACACCACAATAAAAGGAAACTGCAGGCCAGTACCCCCAATAAACACAGATTTAAAATCCTCAAAAAAATACAAGCACATCAATTGAACAGCACACTGAAAGAATCATACACCATGACCAAGTAGGATTCATCCCTGGGATGCAAGGATGGTTCAACATATGAAAATTAATCAATGTGATACAGCACATTACCAGAATGAAGGATAAAAATCACAAAATCATCTCAATAGATGCATAAAAAGCATTTGACAAAATGTAACGCCCTTTCATGATAAAACCTCTCAACAAATTAGGTACAGAAGGAACTTACCTCGACACAATAAAGGCCATTTATGAAAAGCCCACAGCTAACATAATACTCAATGGGGAAAAGCTGAAAGCTTTCCCTCTAAGATCTAGAACAAGGCAAGGATGCCCACTCTTGCCTCTTCTATTCAATCCAGTACTGGAAGTCCAGCCAGAGCAATTAGGCAAGAAAGAGAAATAAAAGACATTCACATCAGAAAGGAAGAAGTAAATCTATCTCTGTAGATGACATTATCTTACTGAGTGCAGGATCTCAACGAGATATCTGCATTTCCATGTTCATTGCAGCATTATTCACAATAGCCAAGATATGGAAACAACCAAAGTGTCCATCAATGGATGCATGGATAAATAAAATGTGGTATATACCTACAACGGAATATTATGCAGCCATGAGAAAGGACGAAATCCCACCGTTTGCGACAACATAAATGGACCTAGTATAATGGAGGACATTATACTAAACATAATAAGCCAGACACAGAAAGACAAACACTGCAGGATCCCACTTTTACAAGGAATCTAAAATAGTCAAACTCATAGAACTAGGGAGTAGCCTGGTGGTTAGCAGAAGCTAGGAGGAGCAGGGAAATGTGGAGGCATTGGTCAAACGGTTCAAAGTTTCAGTTATGGAACATGAGTAAGTTCTGGAGATCTATTGTACAGCACAGTATGTATAGTTAACGGTACTGTATTGTATTCTTAAAAATTTGCTAGGAGGACAGATCTTACACTACATGCTCTTACCACAAAAGAAAAAAGAAAAGTATTTAAAAAGGGGGGCAGGAAGAAACTTGGAGGTGATGGATAAGTTTATGGCCTTGATTGTGTGATGATTTCATGGGTATAGACTTATTTTTAAACTCCTCAAGTTGTATACATTAAATATGTACAGATTTTTGTATGTCAATCATACCTCAACAAAGTGGTTTAAAAAAATAAAATTTTCTAGTAATCATATTTTTTTAAAAAGTAAAAGAGGGGGCAGGCCCCCTGGCATGGCAGTTGGGTGCGCATGCTCTGCTGCTGGCAGCCCAGATTCGGATCCTGGGCGCGCACCAAGGCACCGCTTGTCAGGCCATGCTGTGGCGGTGTCCCTGGCGGCGTCCCTGGCGGCGTCCCATGTAGAGTGGAGGAAGATGGGCGCAGGTGTTGGCACAAAGCCAGTCTTCCTCAGCAAAATAGAGGAGGATTGGCATGGATATTGGCTCAGGGCTGATCTTCCTCACAAAAAATAAATAAATAAATAAATATTTTTTTTTAAAGTAAAAGAAATGAATTTTAATAGTACCTCTTATTTAACCTAATATGTCCAAAATATCATTTCAACATATAATCATTATTTTAAATATCACTAATATATTTTTCATTCTTTTTTTCATACTATGTCTTCAAAACCTGGTGTGTATTTTCCACTTACAGTACATCTCAATTCAGACGCTATATTTTCAATTTCCCTTTAGCGAAACACAGTCCTATCAAAACAATAAAGTTGTGTTTAATGGAAAAATAGTTTACTCTGATTCAGTTTTAATTTTAAATATAAACTAAAAATTTAGGTCCACAGTTACACTCACTCACTTCAGGTGCTCAGTCTCCACCTACGGCTAATGGCTACCATACTGGACAAAGCAGGTGGGGACTACATCCACACTACTGGACTCCTCTGCTGGGGATACGGAGTTGGTAGATAAACTACAGTTCAGTTCAATCATCAAGGGCCCAGTTCTATGTCCGTCTGTCTGCCTTCAGATCCCAACTCCATCACCTAACAGATGTGAGATCTCTGGCAATCTGCTTAATACCTCTAGCCTCCATTTGTTCATCTGTAAAACGGAGGAAGGGGTTAATGATAACATCTATCTCATAGGTTTATTCATGAAATAATATATGAAAAACACAGAGACCAGCATGTAACTGCTCAACAGATGGAGTTGTATAACTTTTACTGTCATTATCTTTACTGCAGGTAGCCCTAACAGGGAGAGGTGCCCAAGGAGACTAGGTTTCCTACAAAATAACAGTTTCCCCAAAAAGACACCGAATGAAACCTCCGGCTTCACGTCACGTACACGTCTGACAGCTTCATGTCACAGTCGGCTCTCCCCTCTGAGAAGGCTGTGGAGTCACCACCTTGTTTTCAACCTCTCATACTGGCCTGTCCCCAGATGTTTCTGGTATCAAATGTCCAGAAAGTCCTAGCTTTATTAAGCACGGACACTACCATCAAGACAGGTTCCCTAGCTAGAAACCAAGACCCTGTGAACGCCTGTCTTCCTGGAGTGGACAGCTGTAACATTTGCCCATGAGGCCTCGTCTTCCTCTGGGACTAACGTTCTCCCTCCCACACCCCAGGCGCCTGGTGCTCCCAGGAGCTCCCCACCGCAGACCCAGCTCCTCAGCCTGAACCTGACCTAAGCTGGACCAATTTGAACCTTTCCCAGAGATCTTGCAAACTGGCTCCATGAAAGGAGACTTGGTCCCCTTCTACGGCAAACTTGTAAATGTGAGGTGTGGGAGCTGATGGCCATTCTATTTCTGGCCATATGAATGAAGACAGTACAAGAGAAGGAAGTCACAGAAACAGACAAGGGAAAAGAAAGACTCCTGGCAATATCTGGGTTCCTGGATGTAACTGTCTCTGAGACTCAGCTGCACACCTGCTCTTCCCACAGTTTTCACAGTGCTGGCCTAAATTTTGTCTTCATCCTAACCTAGTTCTGGCTGGGTTTCTGGCTCTTATAATTTCAAGGATTCTGACCAGTGCACTTCACATTCGTGTGCCCCTAGAGCCCAGGGTAAAGAGAAAGGCCCTTTAGGAGGAGAGAAATTTGAGAGTTCAGACAGGCTGATGGAAAACAAGGATGTCACTGATATCTGAAGAAAAACAAGATGACTGAGGGAGAAAGCACTCAAAGGAGGCCAAGGGCAGATGGGTGAGGTCTAAGTCCTGAAAAGAGAAGGAGGCCGCCTCCTCAGACCTGAGGAGAAAAGGTGAGGAGAGCTCAGACCATCTTCCCTCCTCGCCCCTCCCAAAGACTGCAACTTTGAGCTGTTCGCTCTCCATCTGTGTCAAAAATTATTATGAAAAACAATTTGAAGAACATGCTATTCATTCATTCCGCTAGATAATGTAGTGTTTATCTAAGTCAGTTTGAACCATAACAAGGCTGTTTATGTAGACCTGAGTATTTTGATTCCCTAAACAACTGTAATCACAGATTTCTGCATTGGCATAATATCCACTGTTTACACTGAAAAAAGGTCACAGAAGATCCGCTGTTGTGTTTATTTCCACGTTGTTATTATTGAGGAACCCGCCTGCTACATCTCACATATGAAGACCCATCACATAAATTTCTGAATACCTGAAAAAGCTTTATTTCCCTTGAGAAGTTGACATACTTGTCCCAAACAGACAACGCAAGTCATATATTGGATGGGCTCTGTCTTTTGAGAGTGCCAGAAATGTCAGACATAAATGTATATGGCAGCTAGTTAACTCCAGCAGCCTCCTTAGCACATCCACTCTGCCTCTCCCGAGTCCCTGATCTTCCATTCTCTTCCCATCTTCACTAATCCTGACTTCTGCGTGCATTCTGTTGTATTGGATGCATTCTTACAAGCACACTGAAATCTTTGGTAAAACAAAGCACAGTACAAAGAAATGTCACACTCACCTGGCACATGGTCCTTCCCTGCTGGTCTGGGAAGAGCAGACACCTGTGGGGCCAGAGATTGGGGTGGGGGAGGGGAGGACATGAGAGGCCAAGCTTGCCTTCAGCCTCAAAATCAACTGCTAGAACCCCCCAGACACAGAGGGAGGACAGGCTCCCCCCAGGACTCCGTTGTCAGAGCAAAGTCCTCACTTTGGAATGTGATGGGGATGCAATCTTATGAGGCTTGAACTTGGATTTTTTTTTTTTCTACTTAATGAATATATGTTTCCGCATCTCAGTGATCAATGTGCAATTTACTACCATCCCCCCCACCATTACCCAGGAATTTAATTAACAGAAATTTATTCTGAAGAAACAGTCATGAGTTCAGGCAAAGATTTAGCTGCCAATGTATTTATTACAATTTGGTAAAACTCTGAAAAAACAGAAATAACTAAATATCCAACTATAGAGGACTAGTTAAATAAGTATACTACATCCAAAGGGAAATAAACATTATGTGGCTATCAAAAATAAAGTCACAGAAAACTATTGATAGCATACTGATAATTGAAAAAGGTGGCTGAAAACCATTTGATCCAACACACACACACACGCACACACACTCACTCGCACACTCAAACAGAATAATCTCTGAAATGATGTAAGACAAGCCCTCACAGTAATTAGCTTTGGGTAGTTGGATAATGACCATTTTAAAATTTTTTTATTTGTACTTAGATAAACTTTCTAAGCTTTTCTATGACAACTGGGCATTTCATGTATGAAATTTCTTAAAAGTTGTTTTTAAAATATCTGTAGCCTACCAATCTTTTAACCCGAAGCCTCTATCACCAGTCCTGCCCCTGGTGTTGAGGAAATTCACAGGAAGATATAAAAATGGGTTCTTGGGGGCAGAGTCCATTAAACGGAGCTTAGCTAAGGCAAGTGGGGGTTATGAACCTGGGGAGCTCGATTCCACCCAGGGATCCTGCTAAGCTTTGCGTGTTTCTCCTCTGGTAGCTGCAGTCTGTCAGCAGTAGCTTTTATTAAGAACTGTCCTGGCTAAACTGTGCTGCTCTCTGCCCAGGAAGCGGTCCTCGTCTGGCTCTGCCACTTACCAAACATGGGACAAGATCTGGTGACTTCTCCTGAGCCCTCCTTCTCCTTTCCTCATTTTCCCAGGGAACAGGAACACGAAGGTTCAGGAGCAAATTTACTGTGGCTGGAAGCATCAACTGGACCCCACACCTATCTCTCTCCTGAATACACACGAGGTTGGTCTTAGGTATGTTCCTACTCAGGATAGAGACACACTGGAGTTTGATCCAAGGAGTCTGCAGAGACACTAAAACTCTAGAATTATAGAAACTCCGTAAAGAATTCTGAAGGTGTTTTTTAAAAAAAATTGGAGGCTACTCAAGTGCTTAAAAATAAAAGATTGGTTAATAAATTATGATACAATTAAAGCATGCCAAGCTATGAATCAACTTAAAATATTATAGAAGAAATATTTGACACGGAAAGATCTTCCAGCAATACCAGTGAGTGAAAAAAGCAGGGTACATAAACATATGATTCACAAATGGGTACCAGGAGGATGGGTGGGATTTTCCCAGGTGCCTTGGAGTTTTAGCTAAGTCCCAAACACCCCAAATTCTAAGCAGGAGTGGCTAGACACATCCTAATGGATTCCTTCCTTTGGGAGAGGGAAATAGTCAAAGGAGAGCTATTTACTGAGGGAGTGTGCTATGGGATTTTCCTCCCCTCCCCACTGGGGACTGCTCCCTCCCAAGCTGAGAGAGGGGCTGCAAGAGAATTGTTCATGGAGCCTGGAGGGAGCCTGAAAAAAGGTGGGAACTCACCTCGCACCCCAGGCTGGACATGCACCCAGCTGCAGAAACTCTTAGGCACATGGTAGTTCAACAGAAGGGAGCACGAAAGAGCTCCTGTGAAAGTTTAGGGCATGTGGGAACCCAGAAACAGGAGCCAGCTGCACCACTGAAGAATTCGGAAGTTAGAGGCTGGCTAAGGCCACCCATGGCAGCCAGGTGAGGACAGGGGGCAGGAGTGGGAACCACCTGCAGAGCCTGCATTTGCTGGAACAAGGATGCAAGAGTGCCCAGGTGCCGAGCGGATGGTGGGGAAGTTACGTGGACTTGAGCTTTATTGCAAGGACGCCATCCAAGCAGGCTGCCTGCAGGGTGAGGAGAGCTGGCCCTGAGAGGCAGGACCACGGAGCCAGGAGCTGGGGGGTCAGCACAGAGGTCTGCTAGAGGGCCCCTGCTGGTGTCCTGGGCTGTTCACCCCACAAAGAGCCATCATGTGGCCTCCTGCATAATGGAGGCAGCCAGTATTAGGCAAGTGAGAGCTACAAATAGCACCAAGCAAGGAAAAATTTGTGCTCCTTTCCCTCTATTTCCCCCTCCTCATACCCTAATCCTGGAGGAGAAAGAAGAAATCCAGTGAGTTGAAGGAAAAGTTAAGGAGGAGGAGAGACAGGACAGATCACAGGCCCTTCATCTGGGGAGGTCCCAGCCCTACAGCTCCACTGGGAGGAGGGAGAAGCTTGAAACTGGCCCTGAGAGTGGAATGTTCCTTAGACTGGTGCCAAGTGAGGGAGACTATTCTTCATGACAGGCTGAGGGGACTGAACAGCTATGGGGCTTCCCTGAGATACTGTCCTGGAGGGGAAGTGCCATGGGTTGAATTGTGTTCCCCAAAAGATCTGTTGGAGTCCTAGCCCCTGGGACCTCAGAATGTGACCTGACTTTGAAACAGGGTCTTTGCAAAGGATCAAGTTAAAATGAGGTCACTGGGGCCAGCCCCGTGGCTTAGCGGTTAAGTGCGCAAGCTCTGCTGCTGGCGGCCCGGGTTCGGATCCCAGGCGCGCACCGACGCACCCCTTCTCTGGCCATGCTGAGGCTGCATCCCACATACAGCAACTAGAAGGATGTGCAGCTATGACATACAACTATCTACTAGGGCTTTGGGGGAATAAATAAATAAATAAATAAAATTATGAATGTAGCACAAGACCCCACCTTTGTCCCCTATGTTGGGATCTTCCTAGTTGTATAGAAAATAAGCATTTAAAAAAAAAAAATGAGGTCACTAGAGTGGGCCCTAAGCCAATATGACTGTGTCCTTATAAAAAGGGGAAATTTGGACACAGAGACACACACACAGGGAGAATGTCAGGTGAAGGCAGAAATTAGGGTTATGCACTAAGGAAGAACTAAGAGACCCCAAAGATTGCCAGCAACCTCCAGAAGCTAGGGGAGAGGCCTGGACCAGGATCTCCCTCCCAGGCCTCAGAAGGAACCAGCTCTGTCGACACCTTGATCTGAGAATTCCGGCCTCTAGAACCATGAGAGAGAAAATTTCTGTTGCTGTTTGTGGTGCTTTGTTACGGCGGCCCCAGGAGACTAATACAGGGAGGCAGACCCAACAGAGCAGGTCAAAACCAGCGGGAGAGACACTTCACCCCATCTCCTGTTTGCACGTGGACTTCTTCATCATGGAATGGGTTTTCATAAGCATATAAAGGAAAAACTCCTTATAAAACACATGAAATGTTAACAACGGTTACCTTTGCATGGTAGGGTTTGTTTGTTTTTACATAGTGGCATTTTATAAATTCTTAAACAATAAACATGTGCTCATTGTTTAATATTTAAATAGTTCATAAAAATATACACGTATCATCTTACTGGGTTTTCTCTCCACGACCTCCCATCAGAGTCCTTCCCCTGGAGGAAAGGAAGTCCATAAGAAGGTCTGAAGGGGTAAAGGAGGGAAGGGGCCAGTATTAGCATGGCTTGTGCACACAGGAGAAAGCCCCAGCCCAGACAGGAGCCCCGGGGCTAGTCCCCGCTCAGCCTCTAGTAAGCTGGGTGGCTTGGAACACCTCTCTCACACCCCTTTTCTTTCATTTTTAACATGAGAAGCAAAAACCAAATACTCTTAGGTTAAGAAGGCAATTTCCGTGCCTTGACTCAACTAGAAGGAGAGTGACATACTCCTAGAAGTCAGGTATGGAGGTGACAGTGGGATGGGACAAGCTAAAGATCTAGCTAACCAGACAGTAGAGAATGAGAGTAAATACCTATGAGCGTAGAGAAATTGGTGGTCGGGGGTCATCCTCTGAGAGTCATGGGGATCCCTTCATGCTTCTCACACCCTAAGCAGGAGACCCCCATTCCTCCTAGCAAACCTTCCCCTAAACCAAATCCTAGAGGACCCCCCTAAGCAATGATATCACCCAAATTCTCTCTGTCAGCAAGCAGGTCCCGGGTGTTTTAGGGACTTTTTCTGGGGGCTGCCCCATATTGTGAGCCTCCATCGTCAGCCCTACGCTATGGGGAAGTCTCAGAGAGGGACCCTTCTTTCCAAAGTAGATTACTGCTCCCCAGGTCACCTTCTTTACAAGAATTATTTCTGGGATGCATGAGACTTGAGGACTGGGGCCAATTCAGATGCCGAAGCTCCGCTTTCCTGCTGAGAACTTACCGCCTGCTGGAGGTTCAGCTCCGGCCTCACCTCCGAGCCTCCCAGACTCTCTGGGGGTAGAAACAAGCTTGAATATGCAGACAGGACTGAGCCGCCTTAGTTCCAGTCTGATTCTAAGCCTTTGCAAAGACACTAAGAAAACCTGAAAACAAACAGACGATGTGGTGAGATTCATGTGAAAACATCAGCAGGACTCTTGAGAGTCGGAGGCCAACTGGGGGCAGAAGGGGAAGTAGGAAAGAGTAGAAACCCAAGAAGGATCTGCGCCTCATTTCTGGCTTTGAGAACGGACATACCATGTGAGAAGTTGCTGAGAGAGGACCTCAGCTGACAGCCGGCAAGGAATTAGGGGCCTCAGGCCTCAAACTGCCAGAAACCGCCTTCTGCCGACTCTGGAATGATTCTGGAGCAGACTGGCCCTCGAGACCCCCAAGGAAGAGGACAGCCCAGCCATCACCTTGATTCCATCTCCAGAGGCCTGAGCAGAAGCCCAGCCACGCCCACCTGGGTGTCAGCTTGCGCAACTGTGAGCTAATAATCAGCGCTGCTTTAAATCTCTAAATGTGTGGTTATCTGATACGCAGCAACAGAGAACTAACCCACACCCCCACCGGGTGTTCTCGAGAAAGACTAGGGCTGAGCAAAAGACCACAGAGAGATCCCTGGGTAGTGAAGGTCTGAAGGAGGGGACTGGCTGCCATTGCCGGAAACATGAAGCCCCATCCGTCCAGAAATTTCTCTTCTGAGGAACAAAACCCTTACACTGCCGGGGAGAGGGCAGTAAACCCGGTGGCTCCCCGAGCACAGGTAAGCCCTAGGACACCTGGCAGGGAAACCCTCTCCTGTGGAGTGGCGCAGGCACGTGGCTGGGGCTCAGACTCGGACAGCCTCCTACCACTGGGCAGGGCAGCATCCCCCACGAGGACCCAGCCCAGACTCAGGGACCTAGGGCTCTCCTGAGACTGAGAAAGAAAGAGCACCCATGCCCCTCCACCACCAGGCTGGCCAGTACTAAGGAGCAAGCAGGAGGAGTGAGCCAAAGAGGGGAGGCATGAGCTCTAACAGTAACCAGCCACTCTAAGCACTGAGCCAGCCAGAGAAACACAGAGCCAGCCGGAGAAACGCGAAGCCAGCGGCCTGACGGTAACCATAGCAACAAGGAATGCCAGCCCGGCGCAACTCCCGACCTGTTACATCGCAACAAACCTCCTGGGCTCCCAGCTCCACACACAGTAAGAGCAGAAGTCTCTACTCTCCTACAGACAATGTCTAGCATTCATTAAAAAAACATAGGAGACATACAAAAAGCAAGAAAGAAAAACCCATTGCAGAGAGACAAAGTGAGGGACCAGAAGCCAACTCGATCTTAGGTCTACGTGCACCAACAAACGTACATGACGCATATGCAGCTCACACGCACTTAAAACAAACACTGATGCAACTAGGAGAAACTGACAAATCGTCTATCACAGTAAAAAGATTTTAGCATACATTTTTAGAAACAAAGATCTAGGATGCAAAAAAAAATAGTAAGGATATATAACATTTGAATAACAATTTAAAAGCTTTATCTATTGGATCAGACAAAAGAATGTACTCGAAAATTAGAGAATATACATTCCTTTTAAGCACATCTGTAATAGTTATAAAAACTGACAAGCTAAAAAATAAACCTCAACAAATATTTTAAAAATCATTATTGCATAGACGCCACTCTCTAAACCAAACAGCATAAAACTAGAAAATAATAAAAAGAATGCAAAAGTATTTATAACAATGACTGCAAAATACTACATATCAAAATTGGTGGAGTGGCTGCCCGGTGGCGCAAGCGGTTAAGTGTGCGCGTGCACGGCTGCTGAGGCGCGGGGTTCCCCAGTTCGGATCCCGGGCGCGCACCTACGCACTGCTTGGCAAGCCATGCTGTGGCGGCGTCCCATATACAGTGGAGGAAAATGGGGATGGATGTTTGCCCAGGGCCAGTCTTCCTCAGCAAAAAAAAAAAAAAAAAGGAGGAGGATTGGCAGGTGTTAGCACAGGGCTGATCTTTCTCACACACGCACAAAAAAAATTGGTGGATATTTACAAACACATAAAGGAAAATTAAAGCCCTAACATATGCATTAAATAAAAACTGAAAATCAACGACATTTAACACAGGAGGCTAACAGAAAAAAAGAGTAAAACC